TTTTTAGTAGAGACGGGGTTTCACCATGTTAGCCAGGATAGTCTCGATCTCCTGACCTGGTGATCCACCCGCCTCGGCCTCCCAAAGTGCTGGGATTACAGGCTTGAGCCACCGCGCCCGGCCCCAGCTGATTTTTAAAATTTATTTTTACTTTATTGTAGAGTCAGGGTCTCACTTTGTTGCCCAGGCTGGTCTCGAACTCCTGGCCTCAAGCGATCCTCCCACTCAGCCTCCCAAAGTGCTGGGATTACAAGTGTGAGCCACTGTGCTCTTAACCACTACCCTAAACTGCACTTTGCAACACAAGGTGGCAAGGGCTATTCATCATTTCCTAATTATATACTGTTTTACCTGGCTTCAATTACAAAATTCAGACTTACCGTCATTCACTGTGTCACTCATTAACTCAAACATTTATTGAAAAATCTGCCAGACAATCCCTCCCTGCCCGCCAAATAAATTCCCTCCAAGCTTACTTATTGGACCCAGTGTTCAGGTTCATCAGATATTTATTGTGACTACCTTTGCACCAGTCACCAGACAAGGAAAAGAGATTCAGGCAGGATAAAGCATTCGTGTTCTCTGCCCCCAGAGGCACTGTGATCACCCCCAAAACCAATCAAATAAGTCACACGCAGTCCAAGTAAATGCAGGGTGCTTGCTATATGCAAGGGCAGCATCAAGACGACCCCAACCCCCCAAACCCACATCTCTGGAGCCTGATTTGCATTCCTAAGCTTCTCCTGCGTTAGGATTCTGGCATCAGCCCTGCTCCCCAGCCTTTCCTAGTCCAGTGGGGAAGCAGGAGTTGTTACACTGCTGCACAAGGGCTGCTGCTTAGGACAACAGGCATGTGCAGGACTCTTCCATTCCCCAGCAAGCCTGGCACAGGGCAGATTTGGGAAGCAGACATTACTGCTGCACTAATTAATGGGGCCACTTCCATCCACAGCACAAGACCCCCATTGGCCAGCCTTGCTGGTTGAGGAGCCAGTACTGGATTTCTCCATCTCCCCAAGAGATGGCTTCAACCTCAACAATCTGGCCCCTTACTCTTGTCCACAACTTTGTCTTCCCAACTGAGAACCTTGGAGGGCCAGAAAAGACCTCTGAAAGCATCTTGTGCAGCTCTCTTGTTTTACACTTAGGAAAGCAGAACCCAGAAACTGGAAGGCCTTCCCCAGAGTCCTCCCACTCAGCAAGGTTTCTATTCTACTATTGCGTCAAAGACCAGCGAATGATGGTGATGGTTGTGCCCTGTGGACACCTAGCTCCTGGGTGCTTGTGATCTGATAAGTCCAGTCCTGTGCTCCATATCCCACTCTTGGAACTTCCCAAGAGATAACAGCACATTAAAGACTCTTAGAAGGGCTGGACACGATGGCTTATGCCTGTAATCCCGGCACTTTGGGAGGCCAAGGCAGGCAGATCACTTGCAATCAGGAGTTCGAACCCAGCTTGGGCAACATGGTAAAACCCCGTCTCTATGAAAAAATACAAAAATTAGCCAGGTGTGGTGGTGTGCACCTGTAGTCCCAGATACTTGGGAAGCTGAGGCAGGAAGATCCCTTGAGCCTCAGAGGCGGAGGTTGCTGGGAGCCAAGATCGTGCCACTGCACTCCAGCAACTCTTGTCTCAAAAAAAAAAAAAAAAAAAAAAGCTCCAAGAAGTCCTGCAGTGAAGAAGTCAGCTTAGCTTTGTTGAATCAACATTTGCCAAGCTTATGTGACCATGGATTCCTTCCCTAGTAATAATTATAAAGCCAGCTGAGGCTGGGAGTGGTGGTTTATGTCTGTAATCCCAGCACTTTGGGAGGCCGAGGCAGGCGGATCACGAGGTCAAGAGATTGAGACCACTCTGACCAACATGGTGAAACCCCGTCTCTACTAAAAATACAAAAATTTGCTGGGCGTGGTGGCGGCCGGCTGTAATCCCAGCTACTCGGGAGGCTGAAGCAGGAGAACTGCTTGAGCCTCAGAGGCGGAGGTTGCAGTGAGCCGAGATCATGCCACTGCACTCCAGCCTGGGCGACAGAGTGAGGCTCTCTCAAAAAAAAAAAAAAGGCCGGGCGCGGTGGCTCAAGCCTGTAATCCCAGCACTTTGGGAGGCCGAGACGGGCGGATCACGAGGTCAGGAGATCGAGACCATCCGGGCTAACACGGTGAAACCCCATCTCTACTAAAAATACAAAAAATTAGCCGGGCGTGGTGGCGGGCGCCTGTAGTCCCAGCTACTCGGGAGGCTGAGGCAGGAGAATGGCGTAAACCCGGGAGGCTGAGCTTGCAGTGAGCTGAGATCCGGCCACTGTACTCCAGCCTGGGTGACAGAGCGAGACTCTGTCTCAAAAAAAAAAAAAAAAAGCCAAAAAAAAGCTCCTTACCCAAGGTAGGAGGATGGGGGAGGGAGGAGGGAGAGCCAGGACTGGTCTGTAGATGCTTGCAGACACGGCTGTTGCCCTGCTCCAGGCACCCTTGTCTGCATCCTACAGAACAACTTTGCAAAATCCTGGTCTAAAGCAGGCAACCAGGCCCTTTCTTATAAATTACTTTCTTAGGCTTCTAGCAATTCAGTCTCCCTAAGTTGCTAGCTACCCGCTTGCTCCCGATATTCTCCAGGGAGGCCCTGGCTCACAGCCACCTCCTTAGCTTAGTGACAGCGCTCCCTTACACCTCTCTCCCCCAGACATAATGGGCCCTATGGACAAAACCTGGAGGCAACATGCTAGGATGACAGAGGCCTCGCCACCCTATTTTCTTTAGACCTCAGCTAGAGGCTTCACTCCATCTAAATAGTTCTGTTTTCAGAATTAGTTTCCACCTCCTGACTCCATGGAAAGGGACTCTGATCTAGGGGAAAGGAAAAAGCAGGGGCAGGGGTCAAGCCTGAGCCAGCAGGATGAGGATGGGTATCCAGAGGGCACCATCAGGGCATCCTCTGAGTGGTCAGCCTCTGAGTCATGTGCCCACCAGGCTGCTGGGCCCTGTCTATTCAGGCAGCTCAGCCCAACTCACCTCCATAGGCCCCTCCAAGTCTGGCAAATTGCACTGGGTACCTGGGGGTTTCTCTCGAGCCTGGCAGCTGGTGACCTCTACTGTGGGACTGGGCAAATTCACCAGATGCTGAGCACTTCCACAGATGAGGGGCACTAGGGGCGGGGCTTCCAGGCACTAGGGGTATCTTGTGTGATGTCACCAGAGGGTGGGGCTAAAGACAACCTCCCACACCTCTCCTCCCGGGCTTCACCACTCCCATAGTGGGGAAATCCATGCTAAATTGTGTGTCTTCCTAGCCAGGCCTCCGCTGCAGCAAGCAGCTCACCATTCACCTCTGCATGAGACTTATGGGGAAACCGAGGGCCAGCTGAAAAGTTTGACTTACCTGAGATCACACAGCAAGGCAAAGGCAAAGCCAGGTGACTAGGGCCTGGTTGATGGTAGGGCCTGCTTGATGGTGTCAGGCAAACTTCGGTGGCTCCTGTCCACTACTCAGTGGGAACTAGAATGGAAGGAGGTTAGGAATAAAGGAAAAAGAAGACACCGTAAAAGCGCACAGAGATGGACTTCAGATTCAGACAAACCAGGTTTGACTCCTGATTCCATAACATGCTAGCTATGTGACCTTAGACAAGTGACTCACTTTCTCTGATTCTTAGCTCTCTCATGGGAATGACAACATTATCTACCTCATAGGTTGCTGCAAAGATTAAATTTAATAGAACAAAGTTTTGGCTTCATTTAGGGACTCAACAAATTATTGCAATTATTATTAATAATAGTAGTAGTCTTTGAAATACCCCCAGCCTGAGAGATTTGGAGTTTTCTAAAAAACTCTCTTCTTTTAGCCCTCAACAGCTAGTTCCATTGGATTTGGGGGCCTCAGGAATTTCACTGTGTTCTTAAACATTTACCTTATCCCTGGGGGTGTAGACCAGGGAAATTTGGCTAGAGTTTGGACTTTCAAGGACACTGACCTTACTTAATCATTAAACTGCTCTTAGCAAAGACCATTCAGAGTAACTGTTCTGAATTCACACAGCCCTGAAAATTGGTGCTTACCCACAGGCCCAAGAGACGTAGCTAAGAAGTGACAGCCCCAGGGGAAGGGGCCTCAACTCCAGCAGCTCAGCCCTGGAGAGCAGGAGGGCACAAGAGGGTGAACCGAATTAGCAGGTGATCCAAATGGCATGCGGTCTGGCCTGGACATGTCTTACAGAAGGTTTGGGAGGCTTCTGGGTTGGCTAAACCTCAGAAGTGCGATCTCCAGGGCTCCAGTGGGAATGCCTCTGTCAGCCTGAGCCGCTCCTTCCTCCCTTCCCCTCCCCTCCACTTCCCCACCCCTCCCAATTCATATTCCTCAACTCAGGGTCAGCCCTGCTCACCTCCCTCCTTAACCAAGGCTTGCCAGCCCCAGCCTGCTCTCCAAGGATACACGCTGTCAAAGGTTCCCATAACACCCCTGGGGCAAAACAGACCAGGCTGCAGGGATGTGCTGGAAAATGGGCTTATGGAGAGGGAGAGCCCTGGGTTACCCCCATCTCGCAGATTTCACTCAGTGCTTACTACATGCCAGCCTCAATGCGACCCAGGCATTCTATGTGTTGGGGCACACAGAAAATGAAGCAGACAGGCTCCCTGCCCCGACGGGCTCACCCACACAAATGCCCATGGGGCCTAGGAAGATCCAGCCTGGAGGGAAGCCAGCCAGGTGGTGAGCCTGGAGAACTGGAGAAGGCTGCTGCCCTGGGGGATGGACATCCTCCACTAATCTCCAGCAGGCTGTTTCAAGAGAAGCCAGAAGCCTCATTTTTATGTGAGGATGAAATTTCGGGTCTGGAATTCACCTGCTGTGTGATTCTGCAAGAGTCCCTCAACCTCTCTGAGCTTGTTTCCTCTTTGGAATCAGAGGATTAAAATAGCTGCCTCTTGGGCTCCTGTGGAAGCAAAACAAAGCCATGGATGCCAGGTGTTGGCTCTGGCACAGTGCTGGCTCTGCCGTTTCTGTGGGGTTCTCATCCTGACTCAGCCACTCAATCCCTGTGTGACCTTGGACAAGTCCCTTCCCCTCGTGGCCCTGTTTTTCCAAATGTCAAAGGAAAGAGTATATTCACCAGTGACTTCCAAGGGCCCTTAGGCCCTGGGACAGTCCAAGAATATTTACTTTAGGCCTCTTCTGTGCCAGGCACTGGAGCTTCCTCAGTGACAGAGCCACTTAAACCACTGCCCTCATAGAACTAACAGCCCAGGGAATTCATACCAATGCTAACACCACAGGATTTTTTTTTTTTTTTTTTTTTTTTTTGAGACAGGGTCATGCTCTGTCGCCCAGGCTGGAGCGTAGTGGTGCGAACACAGCTCACTGCAGCCTTGACCTCCCAAGCTCCGGTGATCCTTCTTCAGCCTCTTGAGTAGTTGGGATCACAGGTGCATGCTACCATGCCTATTTTTTAAAATTATGTGCAGAGACAAGGTCTTGCTACGTTGCCCAGGCTGGTCTTGAACTCTTGGTCTCAAGTCATCCTCCCACCTCAGCCTCCCAAAGTGTTGGGATTGTAGGCGTGAGCAACAGTGCCCAGCCAACACCTCAATATATTAATACCCTGCCCTCCTTGAGCTTATAGCTCAGCTAAATAACACCTATTATAAGCATTACTTGGTTACAATTCCACTTCCTCTTTAGTTTCCTTCTTGGCATGCAAAATATTCATTGTTGCCTCTCTGGGCCCTGATTGTTCCAGCACATTCTCTTAAAGATAACTTTTTCTCAGCATGGAAGGCAAAGTCTAACCCCATTAGATACAAATAATAAGGCCAGACCAATGTTAACACGGGGGCTGTCAGAAGAAAATCCTCTTGAAGGGTCTTTAGTGAGGATGACCCAATATGGCACCTGAAATATCATTAATGAGATTAGGTGCTACCATTCATAATATATAGTGGCTGGCTGTTGACGAAGAACTTTCACACACATTTTACCTCTCCCTCACAACTCTCTGGATCCACAGCCAATCTGGAGGCCCAGCCCCGGAGGCGGGAGGGCACAGCACATCTATCTGACTCCAAAACCAGTGCTCTTGCCCTTTGTCCAGCACGGGCAACTCCCAGGCACCCAGTGGTGATCATAGATTATACAGAAAGTTTTCATCCCTGGCTGGCCTCCCAGTCTCTTAGCAACTGGGTCACCTCCCTCAATGCAAGCTAACTCCCCAACTTGGTCCAAAGTGTTTAAAGAAAAAGTCCCTACATGTCTTCCAAAACTGAACAGAAACTGGTTTTTTTTTTTTTTGTAACTTTAGCACTTGGGGCCTCCATGTATTTGTACTGGAAAATGTGATCAGAATGAAATAAGTAATTCTTTCTTTTCTTGAGATAGGGTCTCACTCTGTCACCAGGCTGAAGTGCAGTGCAGCGATCACTCCAGCCTCAACTGCCCAGGCTCAAGCGATCCTCCCACCTCAGCCTCCTGAGTAGCCCTAACCACAGGCACACAATACCATGCCTGGCTAATTTTTTTATTACGTGTAGAGACAAGGTCTCACTATGTTGCCCAGGCTGGTCTTGAATTCCTGGGCTTGAGCAATCCTCCTGCCTTGGCCTCTCAAAGTGCTGGGCTTACAATCATGAGCCACTGTGCCCAGCCTCATTCATTGCTTTTTTTTTTTTTTTTTTTTGAGACAAAGTTTCGCTCTTGTTGCCCAGGCTGAAGTACAATAGCATGATCTTGGCTCACTGCAACCTCTGCCTCCCAGGTTCAAGCGATTCTCCTGCCTCAGCCTCCTGAGTAGCTGGGATTACAGGCATGTACCACCACGCTCGGCTAATTTTGTATTTTTAGTAGAGACAGGGTTTCTCCATGTTGGTCAGGCTGGTCTCAAACTCGCGACTTCAGGTGATCCGCCTGTCTCAGCCTCCCAAAGTGCTGGGATTACAGGTGTGAGCCACTGCGCCCGGCCTTTTTCTTTTTTTTTTGAACAGGGTCTATGCTCTGTCCCCCAGGCTGGAGTACGGTGGCACCATCTTGGCTCACTGCAACCTTGAACTCGTGGCTTAAGCCATCCTCTCACCTCAGCCTCCCAAAGCACTGGGATTACAAGTGTGAGCTCCCACAGCTGGCCTGAAAAAACAATTCTTAAAGAAATTATTCTGTGGAGCTGAGATTCACAACTGCTCTGAGGAGGGGGAATCTCTCAGGCCCAGAGAGGCTGGGTGAGCTAACTACAGTCACTCAGCATGGGGCACAGAAAAAGGACCTGAGCTTCACTGCTGACCAGCAAGGAACCCTCTGGGCAGAGAAACTAAGGCAGGAGAGGGGCAGTCTCTCAACAAGAGGACCCAGAGGTACCACAGGCCTCATGACCAGAGGCTGGGTCCCTCTCTCCGATAGGAGCTCAGACTTGGGGTCCTGGGCTGTCCACCCAGGAGCAGCCAGACTCAGAATCCACCAAACTCTTCAGACTCGGAGGCCTTACCTTGGCCTAGCCCCACAGGCCTCCTCCAGGGGCTGCCACAGGGAAATTTCCGGGGATCTTCAAAGCCTGCAGCCTTGAGGCAAGTGCTGTGGGTTTTTCCCTTCCCACCCTGTGTGTGGGGAACCCCCAGGCTCTCCTGACACCGGGGAGGCTCCCTCATCCCCCAAGGTGTCTAGGCTGCTTGGGCCCATGGAGCAAGTGCCCCTCTTGGCCCCCAGCAGTGCTATTCCCACTGTTTCTGGATCCCTAAGTGGGAATCCTTCACATCAGCCGGTTCTGGGCACCCACACCCCTTCCTGTCCCGGTCTCACCTAGATTCCCCCTCCAGAAAGCAGTGAGCTCCCTGACTGTCCTCCTCCAGGAAGGCAGCGGCCTTGCCCGGACCAGACGCCACTGCCCACTCCCTGCCCTCCATCCTTCACTCTCCCCAAGCAGCCCTCCCCTTCCCTGCTCACTAGGCAAACAGGCTCTCAGGCACCCCCATCCGCATCCTCCTCAGTAGTGCTCCTTCTGTTCCTCCCACCCTTCCCAAGACACCCCCATCCAGTGAGCTCCTCCCTCCTGCGCCCTCCGCTGGCTGCTTCCCCGGGCGGGCGTCCTCTCACTTAGCTCGGGTGCTCCCCTCCGGCTCCGCGTCCTCCCCTGCCCCGAGGAGCCCTG